ACTCCGGGGTTAAGGGGAAGATAACTCTGGAATGCCACTGAGTGTCCTTAAAAACCCAGGTTTGAGGGTTTGCCAGTGAACTCCTCGAAAAATTGTGGAAAAACCCTGCAATTTGGTCACGGGTTGGTCAAACACTTACTCTGGCAACAGCAACATTCTCCGTCAAGGAATTCAACAAACGCTGGTAAAACGTCCTGGTCCTCACACAAAGTCACAGTATTTGTGCCTCACAGAATGAGCAGAAAATAGAAATAAAGCAAACCCAGCTCAGCTGGGGAAGGGGATGATGGGGCAGAGCTGGCAAGAGCCGGGACGGGAAGGAAGCGCCGTGCTCCGATCGCGTGCTCCCTGCTGCCCTGGAGTTATTCCTCTGCTAATCACATTCCTCTGTTCCCAACACGACATCGGCATCCCCACGCTCCTCCACAAGCTGCAGCCCGTCCTCCTGTCCTTGCTGGGCATCGCTGCATTCACCTCACAGTTGTTCCCAGCAGCCACAGCTGCCTGCACTCCCCGGGTCAGTAATCCCCTGGTGCCGACAGAAGCTTGAAGACAGCGTTGGGAATTTATATTTCATATTTCCTAACTGCTTCCTCTCTCCCAGAGGTGAGATTTTTCTGTTTACCTCCTCACCACTCCCATCTCCCCACACTTTGAGGGTGTCCCCAGCAAGACTCATCCATGGCCAGGCTGTGCTCAGACAGCCCAAAGCCACAGCGACTCGCACCCACACAGCGTCCTAACTCTGGGAATAAGGATGCTGGCAAGGTCCTGATAGAGTTGAAGATGTCCCTGCCCACGGCAGCAGGGTTGGACAAGATGGCCTTCAAAGGTCCCTTCCACCCCAGAGGTTTCTGTGATTCCACAATTCCCAGGGGGCAGCCAGGCTGTCTGCACACAGCCAAAGGAGAGGGTTCCTCCTCACACCAGGAATTAACACCACAACACCCACAGGGATGCACCTCCAACCCTCGGGGCGCAGCTCATGCTGTATTTAATTTTCCCATGGATGCGGCACACCAGATTTTGCCTGCAATATTCACAGGGGCAGCAGCAGGAATATGTTTTCTATCTGATATCAGGCTGTCCCTCCCTTCCTGCACAGACCCCAGACCTTGGGCAGCCTCTGGAGTGTCTGTCGAGGACAGGCACCTATCCAGCCGTGAATGAAGGCAACCAGAGCCCAGCACTAACCACACAGAGCTCTGTGGGCTCCTTTCCTGCCCTGGGAGAGCCTCCTCCAGCTACAACCAGGACCACGAAGTGCAATTCGAGAGAGAACCCACCCTAAAGCACATCCCTAATCACCACCTTCCTTTTGCACAGACCTGACACTTCCATAACCCAGGATCAGAGTTGTGAAATCCCAGCACACGTGTCCTGAGCAGGTATTTAAAGGTCTGAGCCTGCAGGACGCTGTGCAGAGAGCGCTGATGCTGGAGAAGAGTTTGCAGGACACTCTGCTCAAAGCTTTCAGTACGTGGCCAGGTTTCTGTTCGGCCCCGATCCATCGCTGCCAGTGCAGCCTCCTGGCTTGGGAAGCAGGAACCAGACAGAGGGATGAAGGTGCACGGATGAGCTATAGGTATGCTCGGGGTGGGAGAAGCCTCTGGAGCAGCTTTTACACCTTTAGACCCTTTGACAGCACCTTGTGCCAATCAAACCTGCCTCTGACTCCGGAGCTGGGATTGACAAGAAAGGGCAAAACAACTCCAATTTCACATTGGTGAGGGAAAAGAAAGGAAGAAATTCTTCCCTGTGAGGGTGGGCAGGCCCTGGCACAGGTTGCCCAGGGAAGCTGTGGCTGCCCCATCCCTGGAAGTGTCCAAGGCCAGGCTGGACAGGACTTGGAGCAACCTGGGCTAGCGGAAGGTGTCCCTGCCCATGGCAGGAGCTTTAAGGTCCCTTCCAACCCCAACCATTCCAGGATTCTCTGAAAGTCAGGAATGCCAAATATGAGAACTACTCAAAAGTGGGAACATCCCTTGTTAAAGAGGTGAGGAGCAGAGAGCAGGAACAGACCCCGTGGCACAGGGGAAGGTGAACACCAGGAACAGAACTGCTGCTCAGCACATTTTTTTGGATGACTCAGCACCCCCTCCCCCTCCCACCAGCTGCAAGCACCTCCACAATTAGTTTGATCCGACAGAACTGATGGTATTTGATCCCATTCCAGAGCCAGCCCTTGGCAGCCTTTCTGCCCATCTCGGGACACTCTCAGGGCACGCGCTCCGCTTGGCATCGGCCAAAAAACATGTTTTGGCAGAAACGTGGCATGACACAGATTTGGTTGGAGAAACAGCGCAGGAACAACGCTCTGCACAGCTCAGATATTACAGGGGTGATTTTTTGACAGCAAAAGACAATTTAATTTAGGCATTAAACACTCCAAAGGGCAGGAAGCAGTGCCCTGCTGTGGATCCCTGCGAATGGAGCCACAAGCAAAATGCTTGACAGAATCCCTCTCCCATCCCACAGCACACTCATCCACAGGGATTACTTGGATTTTATCCCACCAGCCAAGGCTGAAGGCACCAGCGCTCCCCAAACCCACTCTTGCACCTCAGAGCACTCGGAGAGTTGGTGAATTAAAGCAGCACTAACAAACCCCTCATCCCGCAGCCAACGCAGTGATGCAACAGCTGGCGGGTTCTGGGACAAAGATGTGGACTACAATGCCTCACCCTCTGCCATGAAAAACTGCCCTTGGATCCTAAATGAGTTACATATTTGGATACCCTGTAAGATAGGGAAGCAGGGCCTTATCGAGCTGCCAAATCTCACTCCTGTCATGAGGTCATTTCTGGCACGTGGCCAGGCGAGATTTCAGCCAAAATCTCGGTGCTGACCATCGCTCCCCGTCCTTCCCCCCTCGCTCCTCTTCCTCCTGCCTCAGGTCAGGAAGGCGGGGAAAAAATAAAATCATTAGAAAATAAATTAAAAAAGGGTCAGGAAGGGCAGTGCCTTTTGTTTTTAAACCAGCCTGTACAATCACAACACACACGCTCATTGCTCGGCCTCTTCACTGACAACACACAGCTGAGGGGCGGTTTGAGGGCTCAGAGCACCATGGCCCTTGGGATGCCAGGTCTCCCCCCAGCACACCCCAACTCTGACCGTGGCCCCCGGCAGAGAAACGTCATTGACCTGATCTCCTGAATTAATTATTTAGTAATTTTGGCTTCATTTTTGCAAGCATCACGTGCATGGGACCACGCTCAGGGTTTAGAGCAGCACAGCTCGGAAAAGCTGCAAGGAACCCCACACGTTCCCTGAAGCTTGATGATAACTTTCTAAATAAAGCTGCTTGCAAACACCTTGTTCCATTGCTTTAATCACCAAAGGGATGTACTCACAGCAGTCCAGGACACGGAAAGGGGTTGTTTTTAGCTGCACAGCAACTCGAGCGAACGGCAAGGCAGAAAATGCAGCATGAAACGGGCGAGCACGACTACAAATCCCATTAATCACACGTTGTCACGGCAGTTCCCAACCGGGGCGCTGAGATGCCAGTGCCCGGGACATTCAGCCTTCCCCGTGTCCCCACTACCAGGAAACTTCCTCTCACAACCAGCTGCTTCCACACGTCCCAAAGAATTTTCCATCTTAAGCCTGACAGGCCAGATGCAACAGAAAGAAATAAATAATTAGCGTTACCTTATCTGGAGTACGTCAGCTGTACCGAGCAGCGCTCGGATCTCCGTACGCATCCCGAGACAAATTACCTAACGCTGTAATTTATGAATGCCTCAAGTATTTGCCCCGGTATTTCATTATGCACTCGCTGGAAAGAAGAGCTCTAAAGACTAAACAGATCCAGCACGATGACACGAAAGGCACTCCAGCCGCGTGCTGTTCCAAGGCAACCCAGGAATCCCAGCACGGCATCGAGCTGCTCCGGCTCACTTTGTGCTGACACTGCCGGGGCAGGGAAGGGAGAACAGAGAGCGGTGACCCGAGAGCTCGGGTTCCCTCCGGTTCAGCGCTTAACTGGGATTTCATTGTGGGAAGCTGCGGGATCCGGCAGCCCTGGAAGCGCGATCCCGGCTTTCCCGGGGGCAGCCGAGGCCGGCGCGGCGGAACCGCTGCCCGCTGCCAAGTGGGAGGAAGAGTTCCCAAACTCGCCGCTTTATCAAAGCTATTTTTGTCCTTCCCCCACACACATTGATAAGCAGCAGGACGAGGACCGCCGGGGTGCTGGGGTTCGGCGTGTCCCCTCAAAACCCCGCTGGGACCCCCCGGCAAAGCCACCCGGCACCTTTGGGGAGCGGACCATCCGCTCCGGAGGCTCAAGGGGGAGGAAACTCCTTCCTCCAGCTTATCCTGCTCGCAGCAAAGTTTCGTGCCTGGAAAAAATGAGCTAAGTTTGCGAGCGGAGGCCCCAGCTCCGCTCCAGCTCTCCGGAGGCTCTCGGGACAGGCGAGCCCCCCGGGGGCTCGGGACAGCCGTGGGGACAACCGGGAGACAGATGCCAACCTGTCCGGCACAGAGACAGGAGCTGCTGCAGTGGGGACACCGAGACATCACCGGCAAGGCTGATGCACCTGGGCTGAGGGGGAACTGAGATAACGAAACTCACGCCAGCTGGAGGGAGGGGAGCGAGCGGAGGGCGATGCGGGACCGGGATCCCCCGCCCCTGCACCCGCGCCCGGGGGTCCCGCAAGGGCCGGGGCAGAGCCGCTGCCCTCGGCCAGGGCTGGGCTATCGGGAGCAAGGCCGACACGGCGGGGCTGTCGCGACAGGGAGGCGGCGGCAGCAGGTGGAGCGCGGGTGTCCCCGCAGCCCCGTCACCCCCCCAGCTCCCCCCGCGCTTCACCCCCGTACTAGAGTTTGGGGCTTCCCCCCCTTTTCCAACTGACCCCGAGCGGGGGGCTGTTCCCAAGCGCCCCGGAGAGCGGCACCCGTGCCGGGGATGGAGAGGGGGCGAAGCGGGGATGGAGAAGGGATGGAGGGGGGATGGAGCCCGACACCGCGGTGCCCCCCGCCCCGCCCGGACCCACCTGCTGGCGCCGCTCCGCGCCCTCTGCCGCTCTCTGCGGGCGGCCCCCGGCCGGGGCTCCGGGCGCTGCCGCCGTCCCGTCCCGGCGCGGCGGGGCCGCGGGCTGCGGGCCGCGGTCGCGGCGGAGCTCGGAGCGCAGCTCCAGGTAACAGCCCAGCGTCAGGACGTGCAGCGCCAGCGACAGCGCGAAGAAGCCGAGGAAGAGCCGCCAGCTGCCGCCGCCGCCGCCGCAGGAGGAGCAGGCGCGGGCCGCCGCCGCCGCCCTGCGCTCCGCGCCCATGGTGCGCTCGGGCGGAGCGGACCGAGCCGAGCGGCCCCCGCGCTGCTGCTCCCGGGGCGCGCCGGGCACCGCGGGCTGCGCGGCCGGGCCGCCTGCCCCGCCAGGGGGCGGGGCCGGGCACGAGGGGCGGGGCCTGGCGGGGACGGGGCGGGACCACGCGCTGGATGGGCGGGGCTTCGCCTGAGAGGGGAGGAGCCCCGGACACGCTCTGGTGGGCGGGGTTTGGCCCGTGGTGGGCGGGGTCAGATGATGGGCGTGGTCAAAAGGAGCCGGAGCCCGGGCCCGATCCTGATCGTACTCCCGATCCCGATCCTGGTCCTCATCCTGCTACCCGCCAGCTCCCTCATCGCATCCCAGGAAAGCCCTCCCGGCCCCTGGGGTGCTGGAGCAGCGGCAGGAGGACAGCAGGACCCCCTGGCTGAGCAGGGGGACCCCCAAACGAGCCTTTGCACCGCGGGGAGCAGCTCATTGGCCGTTTATAGGCGAGGAAGCAACGTTTCAAAAGAAGTCTGCAAAGTCTTCTCAGGTCCTATCACCAGAGGGTTTAACTGATAACAAGATCGATAATGAGATTAATAAGGTGCTGCGTGATGCTCACCTGCCACGGGCTGCGAGGAAATTTGGATACAGCACTGGAAATTGTCTGAGCAAATCAGAGAGGTGGCCTGATGAAAATAGGATGTGATTTGGAAAAATAAAGGGGAAAAAAGAATGAGATAAGCTGTTCATATCAGGAGAGGAGGCCGTGAGGGGGAGGCAGGAGGTGGCACTGCTGAGGAGGATTCCTGCTGGGTTTAGAGGCTCTGAGCAGGTCAGCTGGGGAAGGAAGTGCTGGGAAAGGATGTCAGAGCCACGACCAGATCTCCAGGAAGGGCCCCCACACCAAGGACTGTCACCAGCGCATCCCTGGGATCGGGGTCTTGATCCCCTGGGTGGGCTCAGGGAGCTGGGTGGTCCCGTGCAGGTCTGTGTTCCCATCATCCCAGAGGCAGGAGGAGATTCCCACAGGGCTGTCCTTTCCAGCCCTTCCAAGTCCTGGAGCACATCGTCTGGGAGTTTGTGGGGTCTCCATCACACAGATCACACAGATCACACAGATCACACAGATCACAGCCCCTGAGAGTCCTGTGGGGGCTTTGTCCTGCCTTTGAGGAGGAGGACGACCTTTTCCAGCCCTTCCTATCCTTGTTTTCCTGCAGTAGGGCTTTTCCTTCAAGTTCTATGCCATAGACATGAAATGACATGAGAGCCTCTGTTTTCATTTAAGAAAGAAATGTTTCCCTAATATTTGTGAAGAAAAAAAACTGGAAGCATTAAGCACTGCCAACCCCAACAACTGAGGAGCAGAAAGCAAATAAACACAAATGAACCCTCTGTTCAAAACTCTGTAATTATTGTAGGAACATTCATAATTATTTGAGTGCTTAGTGCTGTTACTGCTTTTCACAGAAACACAGAATATCCTGAGCTGGAAGGGACCCACATGGATCATCGAAGTCCAGCTGCTGCACCACCAAAATCCTGTTTTTCAAGGTCAGAATCCCAAACCAACCATAGACTGACTGGCCCAAACTTGCAGTGGCCTTGTTCCATTTTCAGGAGTCACTGATGTTACTTTTAGGGTGAATTTTAGAGGTCAAGTCCCCTCTGTGGCTGGGTCAGTGGGAAGATGTGAGCTCACCCTTCCTGCCCGGATCTCACCAGGGACAGTGGCCAAATCCTTAGATTGAGGGATTTCTGCCTCCTGGAGCAGATCATTCAGCACCCCACTAATTAAAAAGGATGTAATTTATATATAATTAATATGTGTCATCCCAGACCTGAGAGATCCTCCTGCCTGGACTGGTCGAGCCCCACAGTCGATGGTTCCACTGGTTCTCTGGTGGTTTATTTTCATTTCTCTTGTTCTGGACATTCATCCCCTTTCTCTGCCATCCCTGATTAACTTTGGTACGTGGATGAAGAACAGGAACTCCGAGGGGTCCTGGTGCAGGAGGCAGGAACCAGAGGACGGGGGAAAATGCAGGAGCAACAAGGATTTGTGGTCCTCTGGATGGCAAAATAAGGAACAGTCAGAAGGGTTCTTGGGAGGGTGGGCAGAGGCTGAGGACAAGGAGAATGCTCAGAGGACATATCTGGAATGACTTTTTTTCTAGATTCCCAAACTTGCTGTTTTTTACCCAGCATCTCCTTCCCATCCCAGCAGGATTCATCCAAAGGTGGGAGGAACCTGCCGTAGCTCAGGAGAACTCCCTTCCCTCTGGAACAGGTACAACCCTCTGCATAGCACAGGGCACTCACTCCATGGCAGGTCCCGGTTCCCCTCTCCATGTGAATTCCACAGATCTGGGAATGTCTCTGAGGGATCTTGCAAAGCAGATCTGAGCCCGTTCCCCATTTACATTTTGCCAGCAGCTGGAGTTCCTGCAGCGGCAACAGAGTGGATTTTAACATGTGTGACCTAAAAGCTTTGGAATTCCTGACTTTGAGGAAAGCTCCGCTAAACTGCAGGAAAGCCATCCCTTAATCTCTGAGTGGTGTCAGCAACAACATGAGCACAATAAAGTCTCCTCAAACCTGAAGTCCTGGCGCGCCGACAGCGCATCCACAGGCGTTTACGAGCCCTCAGGATGGAGGATCCTGCCTTTATGGAGTCTCCATACAGCCCTATCATGACAATTCCTTTTCCTCAGCGACATCCAACATGTTCCATATGATCTGCTTTGCTTAAGACTTTTTTTCAAGGAGCTCTGCCTGGGCAGGAAAGGTCTATTTGTGTCCAGCTGCTTCCACAGGGGCACCGACTGAGCAACACATTTGTGTTACAAGAGCAGGATGTGCTAAGGAATTGTGTTCACGGGATTCCTCCCTCCTGGCTCTATGCTATTCCAAGATTTTCCCTCTCTCTCATGCCATCACTGTCTCTCTCTCATCCCTCCCATTTTACTCCATGAATACTTACACCATTTAGTTGCCCAGAGAAGCTGCAGCTGCCCCATCCCTGGAAATGGTCAGATGGGAGAAGGCTTGGAACAACCTGGGATAGTGAAAGGTGGGAAGGTGGCGGGATGTGGCACTGGATGGGCTTTTTACAGAGAGTGAAAAATCAGTGTATTGACTCTTCCTGTGCTTATTTTCATGTTCCTCCCCCTCAGATTCTGACTTCTAAGGATCAGCAGCACACTGACACCTCGTTCTCCCACACAGAGAAGCCCCTGCTCTGCTCTGCAGGAAGATGGAGGCCTGGTGGCTGCAGCAGCTCCCCTGTCCCATCACAGGACACGTGGGAGGAGGTCTGGCCAGGGAGGCCGAGCTCAGCCTAAACGCAGCTTCTTCTAGAGGGGGTAACCGAGATGTTGCTGTTGGTTCTGTTGTATGTTTATTTATATGTTATTTGGTGCTAATGGAAACCAAATGCTCGGGATCTATTCAGTTCTTCAGCTTTTATAGACTCATTGTCTTTATTTTGGGCTGTGCAGCCGTCCCTCAGCCCAGGCTCCCCCGGCCACATGGCAGTGCCGTCGGTGTCCGGCCTCAGCTGTGCTCTTACTCATCCTGGCTGGGACAATGATATTCCACACCACGTTATACAAGCTCCCCGGTGCTCTGCTGCCCCCCAGCCCCTCCCAGCCCCAGCCATTGTCCTGGGGGTGCCGCTGTCGGGCTCTGCCATGCCAGGGAAATGGGATCCGAGCTGTGCCTCCAGGAGAGACGGGACACGTGAGGGACACCCTTGCCAGGAGCCCACAGTGGCCCCTGGAGAGGGGGAACCCATCACCCGAGGGAGGGAGGGGAACCCTAACACTGAGCCTGACCAGGAATCACGGGCAGGGGGCTCCTCTCCCCTGCCCCTTGGTGGGGATTTCTCCAGGCTCCGGCGTTCCTGGGACTGGGGTTTATTCCCTGTGGTGGTGTTGGCTCAGAGGGAGGACTCGATGACCTCAGAGGTCTCCTGTGGTTCTCCTGACCTGTTTTCCAGGGATTCCGTGCTCCTCAAGGGGAAAAGATGCCATCCCACACAGCCACACAGTCCAGGTAGGAGACCCCCAAAGCAGACCCCTCCCCACCTAAACCAAACAGCAACATCCCCACAGCACAAGGGCCTGGCAGCTGCTTTGCCCCCACTCCTTAGAGCCCCTTCCAGTGCCTAAAGGGGCTGCAGGAGAGCTGGAGAGGGACTTTGGACAAGGGGGAATGGCTTCCCACTGCCAGAGGACAGGGGTACATTGGAGTAGCACCATATTTTGGGCGTAGGAAACTGGAACCTCAGTTTCAGGACCGTTGTGTCTTCTGCAGCCAGAGGGAATTCTGATAGAAGAGGTCCTGGAAATCCCCTGCCCCAAGTTTGTGTGGCCCTCATCCAAAGCTTATTTTCGGACTAAACTTGAACTTTTTTGGGAAAGGCAGGGCCAGTCCAGGGTAAAGAACAGAAACCCCAGCTTTAAAAAGGGAAAATCCAAGGAATTTATATCAAAGCGGGAACAGTCATAAGGAGAGCACATGGAACTGTCTTTTTCTGCTCACAGCTTAAGTGACTGGAGCCTGCTTGCCAAGGCCCTGCTGCAGCTACAGGACCCCACATCCGGGGCCAGGTTCCAGGTGACCCGGGATTTCAGCGATTTGCAGCCCCTGGACTGTTAATAAGAGATGACAGCAATAACCAGGGGAGGAAAACCCACGTGTTTGTTCTCCCAGACGTGCCAGAAGTTGTGGATTTAAGCGAGGAGAAAGATCACAAGGCTCAGTCGGAATATCCTCCAGAACACAGCCTTAAACCAGCAATTTCCTCTGTGGAGCCCAAGTCAGATCAAGGCAGGATAAAGGTCTCCATGTGAGCCTGGCTGAGGGGATTTGGGAAGGGGCAGGAGTTGTTAGTTGGGGATGGGACAGTAAAAATTAAATGGGCTGTTAGAGAGGCCCCTTTCAAGCAGGGAACAGGTCCAGCTCTGGGTGCCGTTTGCCTTCATCTCTCCTCGGGGCTCCATGAGCTCTGGACTCCTGGCTTTGGGGAATGTGGCATTC